CTCGCTCCTTGCAGGGCGGCCGCTCGCCCGGGCCAAAGGGCGCCCGGGGTCCAGGCTCCCTATGCACACCTCTCCTAGCCCAGCCTACAACAGCAAGCCGAGCCTCCGGGATGCCCCGCCTCCCCTATCCAAGACTCTGTGGAGCGGCCCCGGACAGGCTGCGGCACACAGCGGGTACAGCCTGAGGTCGCGGGAGCTGCACAGCCTAGCTCTCCCTGCGGAACCCTAGCCCGACTCCGGCTCTGAAGCTAGGGAGCCCCCACCCCGCTTCGGCCCCGCCCCTGCTTTGCATTCAGCCAATGGGCAAGCGGCTGTGCGGCTCTGCAGAACCACCACCACCCCCTCCCTCCCGCTCGCTCGCTTGCTCCCTAGCGCGTGCACGTCCTCCTGACAGCGTCTTGAACAGGATGCACGCTCTGCTGTGTGCCTACACCAGTGCACCTGGACCTCACTAAACTCCAGGGCTCAGGCCGGAGAACCCGGGCCACAATGGAAGGTACTGGACTCCTTCATGCGAGGAACAGGGCGGCGAGTGGAGAGGGATGGCTGGAGGTACCAGCGACCCCAGGAAGAGAGGAGAGGACTGCAAAGGGAAGAAGCGTGGCCGCTGGCTCCTCCGCAGGGCCTGCCCAGACCAGTTCGGGACACGCGGTCTCCTGGCCAAAAACGCACACACCCCACGCCTTGTTCACCTGGGGCGAGGAACGAGCGGGAGGCCACGAGCTTCCCTTGCAGAGGAAGCGCACACAGAAAAGCACTCTGGGCTTCGGGGCGTGCGCCCTCCCCCTCACGCACGCAGGCTTCGCAAGACTTGCAGCTGCGCGAGGCCCCGCCCACGTGCCTGGGTAGGACACAAGCTGGATGGGGCTCCAGCCCGCTGCGAGGGGCAGGGGCCAGATCTAGGGACTCGCCGTGCCCCTCCATTGCCTGCCTGTGCCAAACGTGAAACCATGTAACAGTGGCCTGGGCTACAGGCTGGGTCCACCCAGAGTCCAGGAGTGCCTGAAGGTCTGCTTACCAGAGGAACAGGCAGAAGAGGGAACCCAGAGCCTCTCCGTGTCACCCTCCTGTGAAACCCTGCCACCAAGTTGGCCTCCCCTAGGCTTATTTGAAGTCTGCACTTGGGGGGGCCCAGATCCTCGCTCTTTTCTGCCACCATCCCTGTCGCTCAGCAGAGGTTCAGAGAGCACTCTAGAGCAGGAGCCAAGCTGTCCTGGATAATCCCGGGGGCTCTGGGCAGCGCTAGAGGAGTCCCTACCTACCAAGGTGGATGTGCCACCTCCACCCTGAACCTCTCCCTGCTATCGGTCCACGCTGAGCCCCTGTGGAAATGGACAGGAGATGTGCTGCTCCCTGCCCTTCAGCCACTCACTCCTAGTCAGAAAGACAAGAGGGCAGAGGTCACCAAGGCAAGCTGATGGCCTAAACAGAACTGGCCATGGTGAAGAGGAAGGGGGCACTAACTCCAGCCAGCGGGACTTCAGGACCCCCGAGACAGGCCTCTGTGATGACACTGCTGGCTGCCCTAGACTTGCATCCTAGAGGATGTAACCACCGCCTGTCTTCAGATGAACCTGCAAGTCTGCTATCTGAGCCTCTTCCAGCTCAGGTGGGGAGCCCCGCAATATATCCTGGTGTGACCTGCAGACACGGCAAGTTCTGCCCTCCTGCGCGGATGCCATCTACAGATGGGGGCAGAGGTAAGCTGGCACCCAGCAGAACACTACCTGCTTCTGTCCTCGTCACCTCACCGGCAGCTTCGGGATCTTAGGAGAGGCCCTCTGCCCGCTGCCCACCGGACGGGTCCCCTTGCAGCTCCTTCCACCTGCCGCCTTCTCCTCTCAAGACCCCTCTGTAGGTGCTGCAAACATGGGGTGGCAGGGCTGAGGTCAGTCCAGCTGAGGGCAAGCTCTGCACATGCATCAGATGCTGTTACAGAGCGTGGGGTCGCTGAGGATCTTGTGTGGCCTCTCTGCTTTCTAATCTTTCCATCCCTCTGCTCCCCGGCTCACACCTGGTCCAGTCAGAACAGTCTCCCCACTGTCCCAAGTGTCCACCTCCATGTCTGACCATAGAAGAATGAGTTTCTCTATCTACTTCCTCCAAAGCTTAAGGGCCTATGGACCAGGAGGCAGGAGCCAGTAGACAGGTAACAGAAACAGAAGAGGCCACCCAGTAACATAGCTCTGCTCCCTCTTGGTCACATCTGTCAAAATAGCACTGAAGTCCCGCTGGTCAGCAGTTCTCGGAGCTGCAGTGGCACCCAGCTTAGTCACTATGGGAGAAATAAGAGCAGTTCCACCCTTTATATGTCTCAGGGGCTAAGCTTCACTCACAGTAACTCATTCAACCTTTGAGACAGCACAAGATAGGGGTGGTTATTATTCCACTTTACAGAAAAAGAAACACTGATTTTAAAGCCTAAGTGCTACATTCTCTTGGACTCTAAACTTACTTCTTGCCCTGAGAACCTTCCAGTCTAACAGAACCTAAAAGCACAACAGGGAACCTGAAGTAGCATGCCCTGATAAGAGGTCTTTATGTAAAAGGACCCAGGCTGAGGGGCAAAAGGGAGAGATGTGGATGGCCCTGTGCCTCTGGACTACAAACCTGCCCAGATGAGTCACCATGGAGATGCCTTGAGGCATCAGGAAGGATGAAGGAGGGTGTGCAGGAGAATGGAGTATGGAGGACAGGGAGAAGAAAGGCAACAGAGGAGCCTCAGGAAGGTTCCTTAGTCAGAAACACATCCTTCCTCTGCCTCTTTCCATTGGTGACAGACTCTTCATTGTGAGTGGGATCCTGAGCAAGGACCCAGACGGTACAAGGGTAAGTGAGACTATGGGCCTCTAAAGCTCATAGCCATTGAAGAGAGCAGTCTCCTGCCACCCTATGATGGTAGCAAGAAGCCTCAGCAGAGGAACAGAGCACAAGCACACAGAGTGGGCAAGGAGCTGTCCTGCAGTCTGCTGTGGTGGAAAGGCTCTCCCTGTGTTGGACAGAAGAAAGAAGGCATACCAGGAGACCTGCCTGTGGCCTGCTTGGGAGCCAACATGTAATATCTCTGCTGACTGGCAGCAGAAAGACGTGGGCTTCTAAGGAAATGCCTAGCTCCTGTGCCTCTCCACCTTCTCAGCTTCAGTGTGATAAAGAGCCCAGGCTTTGGTTGGCCTCAAACACACACAATCAGAGCGAAAGGGCCAAGCCCGGTCCCCTTTCTGATAGGTGCGGAATATTCCTGTGTGTGACTGTGTGCAGCATTCAGTATCTCGTCTCTATGCTGCAAGTGAGGCAGCCTCCCCATGAGGCCACAGTGTGAGCATCCGAGCAATATCTGCTTTGCAAAATAATGTGCAAAATAGGCCAGCACTGCAGGAACACACTCCCCTCATCCCAGCTTTAAACTCCAAACCTGGGCTCTTCTTTGGCTGTATAGGAAATACTACATACAATTACTGAGCAAAACACTCATAAATGCAGCCACGGCAGAAGATGGATGGAGTGCTGGGTATGGTGGTACATGTCTGTAATCCTAGCACTTAGGAGACGAGGCGGGACAGCCATGACTTCAAAGTCAGCCTGGGCTACACAGTGAGACTCTGTCTCAAAAATATAAAAATAAGGTGAACATAATGGCACACTCCTAAAATCCCAGCACTTAAGAGGCGGAGAGACAGTAGGACTGCTGCAAGTTCAAGGCCAGCCTGGGCCACAGAGTAAATTTAAGGCCAGCCTGAACTACATAGAGTGGCCCTGCCTCAAAAATCTAAACAGAGAGAGAGAACAGATGAGAGAAGTCCCTAGCAAGGAATGTGTGCAGAAAGATTCCCTAGGCAGGGGATGGTGGCAGGAGCCAGTCTCCTGTTTGCTGCAGAGATGAAACAGCTAGGACATTCACGTAGAGTGGATGGTAATGATGGTGAAGGTCATGAGTGAAATGAACTAAAGGTACCTGATGCCAGTGAAGAAAACAAACAGGGTTTGGTTGCATGGAAAGGCTCACAGTCGAGGGAGGGAGTGACATAAAGGGCACGCCGTATAGCCTCTTCTAGAGGGAGGGTGGCTCCTTCCCCATCTCAGCATATCATTCAGACTGCGATGAAAGTTTGCCCCACAGCCTCTGCTTGGTCCCTGAACTTCCAAAAAAATGACAAGGAATGTCTTGGTCATTTCATTCCTCATCCCCACTGCCCATCACAGTGGTGCCCATCACCATAGGGCTGGTACTCAAAGTTAAGGAGGAGAAAAATGAAAGGAAGATATCTCTGCCCAAGCCTTAAATTCTCCTCAAGGGGATAGGGGGCTTAAAGGGGGGGATTTAATAAATAAAAACTTAAAAAAATAAAGTTTTCCTCAAGGACATCCTGAAAGCCCCACGTTCATGCCCCTAAAGGATGGGACCCAAGCCAGGCATCTTAGGAACTGCTCCTGGAAAGCAGGACATCTGAGGTCATTGGAAATGGATGAGGGAACCAAGGAAACTTAAATGTCCAGCAGATAACAGACTGCAAATGTTAGCATTTAGCTGACTTGTTTATAGCCACATCCGTAGTACAGACACA